TGCATCCATCCATCCACCTACCCCAACGTTCATCTCCCCTTCTGATCCTGTGAAATAAGCAGGGCCAAGAGGTTTCATTATTTCCCCCTTAAGCAGATCTTGTTATTGAGTGTGGAACATTTTAGATGTATGTACGTGCCATGTTTGACTACGACCCTCGTGAGGACTTGGAACTGCCTTGCGCAGAATTGGGTCAGTCTTTCAAAGTTGGTGACATTTTGGAGATTGTCGACGCTGCAGACTTTACCTGGTGGCAGGTACGCTCATCGCTCCTTGACTGTACTTGCTGACTGACTTGGCTGGAGTAGCACTGAACCCCTTCCACTTGCATGAAAAGTAGGCGAGGAAGTACAAAGCTGGATCCGGACCCACTCCAGCCGGTCTCATCCCCAGTGCTGACTTGGAGGAGTCACGTGTTGTGCGTGCGACCAATGGTATACAAGGCGCATTGATGGCGGATTCTTTGAATGCTGGGAACCATATCAGCCATATCTCCAGTCTCCTGCATCTTCTAGCTCCTCGAAAAGTACCTCGATCATCCACAAGTAACAGCAGTACAGGAGGCAGTGGTCTGAACGGACTCCCAGGCAACCTAGAGCGCTCCCTCTCCCATTGGATGCCATTTCGACGGAGATCGAGGCATCGTAGGCATCGAAGTGTATCCAGGCGCCGCACCAGCAGTAGACGTAGGAGACGGACCGTGGGGAGGAGTCATTCTTCCGAGACGTTCAGTTTTGCTCAAGAGGATGAAGAGGAGAGAGGCGATGGTGAGGAGGCGAATGAGTTTGCACTGCGACAGAATGGGCACTACGTTGAAGAGATTGCCAGTGTAGGCAGCACCATTCCCAGCCAGACTTGCTCCCGATGCAATTCAGCATTACGGGTAAGAAATTTTTCAGGGTAAATGATTCGACTAACCCAATCAGATGTTAGTATCAACTTCCCGAAAATAGTAATTTAGGATGTGTTTGACGGAGGCGCAAACAGATTAGTGGATAGAAGGAGGCATCTTCGATTACGAATGCTTCTTTTGAATGGCTGGGTGGAAGAACTCTTTCGAAATTGGAGGGTAAATTATGCATGAACTCTTGACTGTTGGGATGGATGGAAATTCGAACAAATTTAGGAAAATCATTAGATGGATGGATGTGGAATGGGTGGACGGACGGATGGATGGCTACGGGATTTGTGGGTGGGTGCGTAATGGAAACAAGTTGCCTGGGTAAATGGCCTCCTTCCTCATCAATTGCATCCCAATTTGAGCTCTGATGCCTCTGTGCTCTAGCACGGCTCTAAAAGTAGCGAGTCTAGATTCATGACCCTTGCATCCATGATGTGTCTATAAATAGACCACTTCGAGAGGAAATAAATCCGCTAAGTGAACCATTTTTGTGCTTTTCCTACACGCCTATTCCCACGTTCACTTGTTTCGCACACATCGCAATATAAACATTCGCCAAGAGCATGGAAACAGGCACAATGTCTGTCCATGCCAGCGTGTGTAGTCTGTCAAATGCATGTTGGAAATCGAGGTTTACTCATGACAGTCCATTTCCCTCATGTCATTTACGAATCGCTAAATAAGGCCTTTTACTTTTGAAGGATTTTAGGCAACCACTTGTAGTTTAACCTGGCTGCAGGCTTGTCGAAATGTCACATCTGTCAGTGCGCTTAATGCGTCCCGGAGAGGCCTGATTCCCTGCCTCAGTCACCCCACGTATGAATCAGTCGTTTATGCGAGTTTCAGAAATGTTGTATGTCAAGTGGTCAGGCCCAAGTGGGCATCCATGAGAGCACCGACCAATGTGTCGGTCAGGCAATCACAACTTACAGATTTCCCATTGATACGTCCTGGCGTATTCCACCCTCCTGCCACACCTTTGTTGCCTAGCTGCTGTAAACTGCGTACAGTGTGAGAAGTGCGATGAGTTTCTGCCTTTCCACTTATACAATGAACGAATTGGGACATAATGAGGTGGACTTTTGCCTCCACTCAACCCTGAGAAACAATTACTGATATGAATGGGAATCGTCAATGGCAGATGTGTAGCCAGCACGGCTTGAGACGTTCATACTACATAAATGTCCCACTATAAAGTGGCTGGGAGGCACTGCTTTCACAACTTGGTGTGTTTTATCGCCACCGTCTGTCAAAACAAACACCCTCTATGGAATTATTCGGCCGACATAAATTTTAACACAAATCCGTTTTTGTTAGCGCTCACGCTATTTACTTTTTAACACGATTACGTAATAAATAATAAAATTTAAGTTGTTTTCGCTTTGACCATCTTTGTTTGCATTACTTCTTACATTTCGTTATTTTTGTTTCATTAAATCAACAATGATATGGGGACATTTCCAACATTCCAATCCTTAATGTTTTGTAAATGCGGCTATTTTAGTCAGAAATAAAAATATGGCTGTCTCACAAATGCTCTCATAAATGCACAAAAAAATTGTTTCATTTCATTATTGCAAAAAGTGAAACGCTTCCCCCTTGATGCTACTTATATTCTAATAAGTAACGGCATATGGCCACGTGACCGCTTTACAATGCTTTCTTATAAATCACGTGTACTTTAGCAAAAAATAGGACTCCAGATCTGTTTATGGACAGGAAAGGTGCGTTGATTTATCATTTTAAAAATTTATTCTCTGAGCTAGCTATGCAAAGCGACACATTGAAGTATCAAATTCTCGACTTAGGTAAATCCCTTAACACGAAATGATTCAAAACAATTTGAAATATCACCGAAGGATAAAAGTGATAGAATTGTAGTCTATTCGGGAAGTGGTCACTAGTGGTTTGGTTTCCATGAAAAACGTTTTTGTGTACAAAATACGACTTCCAGTGGGCGGTAAAGTTCGAGATAATAATTCGTGAATTCAAGCGGCAAATACTGTGAATTATGCCGACCAAAAAGCTTTGAGCGGTTAGTATTTAAACCATAGGGAAATGCAAAGACCTATGATACTGTTTGCAATCCCCCCCCCCCTCCCCTCCATCACCCTATATGGTCAGTCACCGGAAGACGCACAAAAGCGCCGGGTCACTGTTAATACCGTTTGGATAGGCAACCGAAAATGGAACCTACGATTTTGTTGCAAGTGGAGGGGATAATGTATTTGGGAACCTGTCTGGGCAACATGCAACGCCTCGTATACTTAAAACAATACATTAAATGGGAACGACCATTAGCCCATCCAATCACGTCCCGCCCACTCTTTTGGAAGCAAAATTTAGCGCCTGAAAGAAGCAATTTCGGGAGCAGGAAGCGCGATTTGTCAGGCCTCAATTTTAAAGGGAACGGGGAGTTAAGACTGTCCGTGTGCGGAGCACGCCGGGAGGATGATTTTGAAGTGTGTACGTGACCTCGATTATCATGACGTTGTAGTTCACCACAGAGTAAGCCACTCCTCATTGTAGGCTCATCTTCTCTGGTGGTTAGAATAGTTGCCCTTATGGCGCCAGTCTGCTTGTTGGAGACACCGCAGAATCATTTCTGAAGTCATTATAAGGACGAACGCAGCGCATTATAGAACCGAGACAATACCTTACAAAATTATGTGAGGAAAAATTAATTAAAGGAATTTAGTAAAAATGTGGAAGGAAAGACTCATTTATGGAAGTACTTTAAAGTCCCCAGGGTAATAACTCGGTGAAAAAAAATCATGCCAACCTGACACCACTATTATCTGACAGACTGCTGATTGGCTCGAACACATTTATCCAATAGACGTAGAGAAATTGGATGTAGGACGCAATTTAATTGGCTCATTTGTCCACAAGCTATTACTCAAAGTTAGCTTTTGATTCACTTTAAAATAACTCATTTAAAGAATCGTTTAAAGTTGTGCAATTTATTAAGGAGGATTTAACCACTTTAAAACCATTAAACTAATTATTTTATGCACGCTTCTTAGTAGATCAGGTGAAGTTTTGTTTCAAATCATTCGGGAAAGAATTTGCAATGTTGGTCAGTTTTTAAGAGAATAACGCAACACCAATTTTTTACACATAATCTCTCGGTGTTTTAGTCCACATTTTGTGGAAATTGCTGCATATATAACGTGAAAATTGATTATAAGCCTAATAGTAAGAGTTTAATATAATTAAAAGTTAGGTCCTTTGGAAGCATTTGAATTTTTTTGTTAGCAGTTCAGCCTAAGTGAAAACTAAGTGCCTTTTTTTTGTTTGTAAGGGCTTTTAGTTATGGACTGCTCAAAGAATAGGTCATGGGTGTCCTGGCGGTTTCATGCTTACTCCATAGTCAGTACTGCAAAGAAGCGTAATTTGACAAAACTTTGGTAAAATGATTCGAAATTTTCCTACTGTATCCTATTTCACATAAAGTTGACTGGGTGGCGGCATCAAACTGAGGGGGTGAAGGAAGTGGAAATAATTTGCCTCGATCTCCAGGGCATTTTGGCCTCGTAATCCCACGGTCTTTGCTTCAAGGCATCGCGAGTAGTGGATTAAGTTGAAGTCTCTTTTTGTTCTTTGATAATGGGAGAGCAGTTAATAATAAAGGAGTAATTTTTGGCTTCAATAGCGTATCTTTCGAATAAATCACCTTTAACTAGAAACATTTCCAAACCGCCGCAAATAATACGGCCTTACCTTCTGAACGACGACCATAAAGGCCGTTTTCAAAGGACAGTGACCTCCATATTTTTTGGGAGATCGCCCCATACGTGATGAATATGGGTCCAGCTAAAAATAGGTGTTCACTTGGATGGAGCCAGAGTGATTGAACATAGCCGAGGTCTCGATGATTAGTGCAAGGAAAGAAGTATGGGCGGCCGTATGAGTGGTTGCGCTTGGGCCTGAAGGTGGATGGATTGGGATTGGGTCCCAAAGGCGTGCACATTTGAGCTCAGGACCCATGAGACTGGTCACTTGGAGAAGGACTGGCTAACCAGAAATGCATGGATATGGAAATCTTCATTATCCATGCTGACCAGGGGATTGGAGAATGTGCAGTTTGCGGCACCAGAACGCATCATCAAAGCTTGTGTTTGATGCCAGAAATTCAATACATTGGGCTACATCAAACTGCCCAAACCTGATGCCTTTAAGGTTAAGAGATTAAATCACTTTTTTCGACATTTTTGACATGCTAATCGCAATGTTGGATTACCGACTAACACGGGTAACTAGTCATCGTGACCTCCATCCCTAAAGGCAAATCGTGCGGCGTGGCGTAGAAGCAGGGGAGTTAAAATTAATTTCAAATTCCCTTGTTTTGGCACCCAATATAAAAAAGCAGGATCAAAGCGCACAACCACCCTTCCCCGTGCTTCCATTGGCTGACGGTCAAGGTCACCGCTGGTGGGCATGCCGCTTACCCCCACCCCCCAGTCATAGATTTTATCAATGTCAACAAACGAATGTCCATTTTTAGTCCTGTCACGAGAAATGAATGCTTCCCCTTGCCGTATTTGAAATGCTATAGCATGTCCACTTGTTTTGTTTTAATAAAATGAAATCCACATCATTCACAAAATACCTGCAAGGCTCATTTATCCGATTTATTAGAATGCAAGACTTAAATCTACAATAATGAAGAAACATTCAAGAAACTTTGCAAGCGTAGATGATAGAATTGATACGTTGAAAATCTTAACTAGAACAAGAACGAATGCACAACATTTGCAAGAAATTCGATGAGAAAGCATGGAAAATCGGATTGGAATGGATGGACGAACGGATAGATGGATGGAGGCGTGAACGAGGACTTTCAAACGTCTCTAAAAGAACACAGCACCAAGTGTATCCTTTTTCCCTAACTTGAAAACCCAAAACATGTCAGCAAAGCTCAAAAATTGTGAAAGAAAAGTTGGGTTTTTTTGCGGGTAGCAATAATTTTACTCTGGACTAAAGTAAATCTTTACTTCTCT